AAACACCCAAAAAAACGTCGAAGGAAAGCAGGATGTATGAGCTAATTCGAGACCGAGAGTTTTTGTCTGTCATGCAGTCATTACCCATGAAACCCTTCACAATGTTGTTAAATTCATCTCATCTCTCTTGAATGAGTGAACACCACATCCCGTCTTCCCCAAAAACTGGTTTCAGAATATAAGCTAGTTCCTGAGTAGGAAGATACAATGATATTATAGTTCAACATGGTAGAATCGGCACCCAGTATCGATTATTTATAGATATATTTTGAAGAGTTTACCCTTTTCAGACTGGTCAACAGCAAGAGAGCGCAGCGCATGGCTGGATCATTGAATAAGCCAGTCCACTGTTAGCCCACTGTCAGAAGTGAATGTGTTCTGGTGACTACGGCTGAACTTCTTCCATCATTTAATTCCTTTTTTAAATGGTTCATTTTATAGTATAGGCTATTGTAAAAAAGCCCAGTTGAAAGACTCTGGAGTGGCAACGATTGATAGGTGCCCGGTTAGCTCAGTCGGTAGAGCACCAGACTCTTAATCTGGCTGTCGCGGGTTCGAGCCCCGCATCGGGCTGGCATTTTGCAATTGCCATGCTTTCTGAGAGATGAGAGCATTCGCCTTTAATCACTTATGCCGTTCAGGAATGACTCTCACTGGTCCGTTTGATTGAGAAGCCTCGTCATGTACACTATTCTCAACGTTTTTTATAAAGAATTTTAAAACTGAGGAAGACGGCAAATTTAATTTGGCCAGCTGATCTCCAATTCCTAGTCAATTGCGAATTTATCAGAGTGAGCCACCCGAGAGTTCCCAAGAAGTTTCACGCTGTCTTTCAAATGACCTTGGGAAGCGCTGACACTTGTCCACTGTGTCTACGTAAAATTCTGGCATTCTGGGATCCATAGATGAAGTAGGCAAGCCAAGGAGTTTTACTGGCTTTTTGTTTTCCGAACTCTTTGATTATGAATTTCAACGAGCACTTTTCGGAAAGTAAATTCTCAAAAGTGATCTTCCATTCTTCTCCGTCTCGAGTACATGGGGAACTCGTATTATGCGCTCTCTATCACGCTCATCCACCGTGCTTGTCATGAGTCAAGCAAAGTCCTCAAATTAGTGATGGGATCAAAGCCTTACCTCCACCACTTTTGTTTTGTTCCTCCTCCTCTACCAACCTAAATCTGAACCAAAGCAAAAATCAGCGTAACAAGTATAAAAATGCGGAAACCACTGTCATTCTGTGATTTCTGGATTAATTCTATCTTCATGGTTAGCTTGTTCCCAGTACTGATCCAACTGTATGTGAATCCTCAACAGAAACATCGTTATTCAGACAAATCTGATGATTTTCTGTGTTTGAAACTGTATTTCCATTCAAAATGGTTTTAAACTTTGTTTACTTCTTATCGCTCTGATATTTGCAAGCTCTCCGAATCATTTTCCTTCTTAAATTGTTCACTTCTGACTTTGCAGGCTTCAACCGAGCTCCGGCTCGTCGCACGGCTTATATGATAATGCCCTTTTTACTCGATCCACACAGTTTCATCCACTTCGAATAAATGCACATTTATTACTTATGCTTATTTATATTTCGTTTTATTAATTATATTTTCTTGGCCAACGCTTTTTTAAGGGAGGAATCCGATGCCGTGCCCTTGGAATTTGTTATCCTGTGGATCGAACAAACTAGTCAATGCTCGCCACGGATGGTTGATGTTGCGGAACTTTTCACTTAAGAACTGTCTCAGCGATAGATGGAAATCGGTTGGCGACAGGGCAAGTGAGTGAAATCCTCTGAATAGAAATTAATGTTGTGTTGAAGAAATCCGGCCAGAACCGCTGCTTTTCATTTACCTGGGCTTTTTTGTGAGCGTTTTTTTTTTCAAAAGTCATGNTTGGGATAGGTATTGAACGTGCTAATCCATGCTCCTTACCCCCAGCTTGATTAATGCTCAATACTTGTAGTCCTCTGAAATAGGAAATAGACATTCCAGAGGAAAAGCCTCTATCTTGCTTGACTTTTGTATTTTGTTGCCCAATACAAATACCATTTCAAATGTCTCCGAAATCTCGATAGTAGCCGAATGCATGGCGTCATCTGGAAAGACTGATCACTGTGTTCAATACTTTGTGCAGTTTTACCATTCATACCTCATCGTTTCTGTCTTTTTAGTCCCTGACGAGGCCTGAGAGTGATCCAGGCAGCCACAGGGGTAAAGATATGCCCTAGCCATGAAAGATCGTAACTTCCAGTGCCAAGTGAAAGCGATCCCATCAGGTTGATCCGAAACCCGTCGAAGTTGATAGCCGTGTCGCATCGAATCACTTTTGATCTTCGATCGCTGTTGAGCGGTCAATCAGGTCAGCACAAGGAAGAGATCTTCTTACGTTTCCAGTAGAACTCGCGCTCTTCTTGGTTTCTGCTTCCTCAGCTCACGTAGAACCTGATGTAGACATTGTGGACCTGTTGGCGTGATGCCAACTGATCCGTTTGTTCCTGAACATTGTCGACGTCATTTCAAAGGCAGAGGCCTCGCGACCAGTTCTTTTCTCAGTCCGTCGACATGCCTCGCCGAATGCGTTGATCGCTGTTAGACTTTGGCATAAGAACTCGCTTTCCGTTTAGATATTCTGATTGATTGCCGTTTCAGTTCTCTTGAACCTTCCCACTATCACTCTGAACTTGCTGTTGCCTTTTGCTGGAAGTGTCTGGCGTTCATGACGTATCTGCCTTTTTATGCCTTTTTGTCCCGTCGTTACCCTACAATTACCATTTACCCACCGAAAATAAAGTCTTGAAATGTCGTTCAGGTCTCCCAGGTTCTGCTAGAACATCCCACTCAGTATGCCGTCGTGCTCTTGAACTATCATCTTTTCCCTAATACAACTGCTTTTGCTCCTCTTAGGTTTCTTTGGTTCATTTTCATCCAAACCATGGTCATACCTTCCTTTTCTGCCCTTTTTCCCATATTCGTCTTCATCCTTTCTAATGGAGTTGTAGTAACTCCCTATAAAATACCTTAGTTCACTTACTTCCTCCGAGTCATTGAGGAACCCTTTTGTAGCCTCCTATAGGTTATTCTAAGCTCTGCTTCTGAGAAGACACTATGACCCATCAATATGCAATCGACCTGCACTCTAGAAAACAGGAATCAATTGAAAATGAAAGTAAGCCCGGAGTCAAACTCGTCTACAGGAAAGGGGTGCTCATGATCTGCTCATTGGATTTTTCCTTGGTCAACATGATCTTTCTTCCCCGTCGATTAGTTGTACCAGACTGGTTTGCGATGATTGCGTCACTGACTTGTTCAATGTCTTTTCTTCTCTTTTGATTCGATGATCTGCGCACTCAATTGACTCTACGTTCCTGGTAAAAATCAGTTACGTGGCGCGATACAAAAAGAAGCCCTATTGTGTTACTCTTTAGCTAGCAAAAGAGCTGCAATGGACTTTCTTCTATCATACTTTTACTAACGTCTTTGCTTGATTCTGTGAGGCCGAGAAGATTCCATAGCTCCAATGTGAATGTTTTCTGGTTTGTGTAGTCTAATGGTGAGAGGCAGAGCTATGTGCTTTCATAATCGTAGGATCACATTCTTGCCAGTTCCATTACGTCTTTGAGTTCCCGAGCACCAGTGACAATTACATGAATTTGAACGTCGCTAGAAATACCGTATGCTCCTGTGAAACCCAGTCTTCAGCTTAATCTCGAGCTTTGTGAAATCACTCTTTATTCGTAAGGCAGACTTGACCCGCTCAGCAATTGACAACTAAACTGAGAGCATGGCGTATTCTTGCGCGCCTTGCCCCTATCTTTTCGATTACGTCTTTGGTAGGAAAGGCTTCTACCATTAAACCACTGGGAATCTTACCAATGTTTGAGATTAAATTTGGTGAACTCACCAAAGCTTTTGGTGGAATTAAGGATTTGATTTCACCAAAGATTTTTGATGGATCATTTGTAAAAGTCCAACAACCGCCCTTCGGGTCATCAGTTATCCCGACAGAATCCATATCTTTTCTAGTTCGCCAATTTGTTACTGCTCATTTAGCTCTCCATGTTCCTCTTCTAGAATCGGAATTCTTCATTTATAATGCGAGCATTTTGGTAATCTTTCAGAATATGTGTGAGCTCCCAGTTGATGAAATTCGCTCCCCTCAAATCGTTATCCCTGAACAGTGAAAAATTTGTATAATGAAGAGCATGAAAGAACACCTAGGTGAAGTTTCATGAAATAGAAAGTGATCATGTTGAACTGCATGATTTGTCTGGGTGCTTGGGTGAAAGGTAATACATCTGTAGTAAACGCTTCTCAAATCGCACAAAATCTTGGATTTTTCTTTTTGATTTGTCTGATTGAATGGATTTTCTGTGATTAATGTTGGTGTATTCGAGTGGTTTTCCATTTTTTATTTTGCCAAATTTTCTTGTGAAAGTTGCCCTGTAGCTTTGGATTGATAGGTACACGTATTTTTTGTTTTTGTCATGTTTTTATGAAAGTGTTCCGACCTTTGGCATTAGAAACCAGTGGAAGTTTAACGACAGATTTAACAAACTCGTTTTTGTCGTCATTTTTTATAACAATGTCTGCGATTATGGTGGCTGACAGAAGGAAATGTTCCTTAAAAAAAGTATATTTTTGGTTCATACCTTACACATACCTTACGACCCAGAAGAGGTATTAAAATTCCTGTTTAGAAGTTATATTCAAAAATTTAGGTAATTTCAAAAATTTCTATCCATAAATTTTGTGCACTATTGCCGAACTTATTGTTTCTTTTTGTTATTTAGCTGCCACGTTCGTAGTTCTGCAATTCAAATATTAAAAAATTGCTTGAATATTTGGCAGGATTTGGAATTTGAAGGTCAAAAAAATGTTAAAAAAGCATTTTTGTATGATACCATTTATCTGTTTTTTTTGCTTACTTGTTTGTTTATTCTTTTTTGCACTTATACGTTTTTTTTTGTATGCAAAAATATTTTTCATTGCCATCATTGATAGACCCCTTTGACCTCGTCATTTAGTTTGCCATGCTACCGTTCTTCCATCAATATCGTGAAGGTGATTGATGGTTTTGATGGTTCACAAATTGCTTCTAAAGATCATGTGGATGCATTTTACTGTCCTACATAGGTTGCATTATTTTTTTCCATTCCGCTAACGCAAGCAAAAATCATTTTCAGTTTTATTTTTCAATCGATTTTTATACAGTTGAATTTTGAGGGATCAAAATGTTTCGATTGTGAAGCAGAACTCCCGTTGCTAGGTTCTGCTTGGATCGTTCCTTTCTCTAAATGAAAGGAAATGAAGCTAGGATCCAGCTTATGGTGAGCCGTTAAGAGACCGAACCTAGGGATTCTTCCATTTCAGGTGGGAATGTGTAGTGAAAAAACGAGATTTGGCGTGACTTTCATAATACCTTCCTCAATCTCTCTTTCCTTCCCCTCTTTCTGCAATCGCAATTGCAATTGAAGCCCCTTTATCGAGCTGACCGGCGATAGCACCCAAATCCGTCTGGCTGCTTTCATAGTCCGCCGGCCGTGGGCGGCGCTTCTCCCCTGTATACAACTGAATTTGATCGATACCGCAAGCCGAGTAGTTTCCCGGCCGGCGCGCGCATGCGGGCCGGTCGGTGGACTATGAAAGCAGCCTCTGTGCGCAAACGAAGCCTTCGTAAANAGCCTTCGTAAAATAATGGTTTTTTTTTTGAATTTCTGTCAAAATTGTTTATAAAAGTGTGGAGTGTATTTTGAATAGGTTTACACAGTTGGTGCGGATGCGAATTTTCTGCAGTTGGGTGATGTAACCCATGAATGGCATATGTGTATATTTGCTTCAAGAGTCATATAAATGCAATAGTTTATACAGTAGGTTACAAGCCGCGTCACGCTCATAATATTTCTTTTAGTCCAAGGTCAGTAATTCGCCGAATGTGTTTCAGTATGCGGTTGGCGGTCATACTTGCCGCCATCTACGCGACGACATCGATGCCGACGCCAAACGAGTCTTCAGAGTCCATTGAAGACGAAGACGATGGTGAAAGCTGGGAATGTGGTACAGATGCCTTCAGCAAATACATCAGCGAGAACCAAATCGAACTTGATTGTCCTCATTTGAAAAGTGAGAACATTCACTTTTATAGAATGGTCATCAGATTGGGGACCGAACATCGGTGCGTCCTGACACGCATGCGGCAAATTGCGCGGCGAATCAAAACTACCATGACTTCCTTATATAGATTAAATCGACGTGCTCACTTATAAACAGTTCCAACTTCAGGCCCCGTCGTTGTTTTGTGTACATGCTTTGCGTCTGGCTGCTTTCGAAGCCCGCCGGCCGGCGGACTATGAAAGCAGCCTCTTCGTGATAAACGCCAGAGTCGCCCAAATCGCCATCTATTTCGCCGTGCGGTTTGCCACGTGAATCTCCGGACGCACCAATGGGCTGCTTTCATAGTCAGCGGTTTGGCCAGCGAGTGAGCGAGCGACCGACCGGAGGCGGCGCTTGTCCCTTGTTTACAACCGAATCTCGGTCGATACCGCTAGACGAGTAGTCCCGCGGCCGCACGCGCGCTCGCCCGCGGACTATGAAAGCTGCCATGTACCGGTACCGTATCAGATCAATGAGGCTAAAATTAATGATCTATTACAGAGAGCGTGAACGGGTGTTGCATAAAGCACGACAAATGCTATGATGATCAAATGGGACGGAAGTTCTGTGATGATACGTTCTGCAGCTGCCTAGATGTGAGTTCATGGAATACTATATGACTAGAAAAGATGGGTATACGATTCCATCCTCCAGAAATCAACACTAGTTGCAGACAAGTTAAACAACATTTAAGTGTTCAGAGCCCTCATTTCTTGCCCCTTCCTAGTGCGGTTTCCCTGTTTTCCCTCCCTATGATTCTTAGTTCATGTGATCAACTCCGCTGAGGGAGATAGGAAAAAAAGGCTATCTGACTATTTGAAGACACTATGAATTCCTACAGAAACCACAACCCTCCGCCTTCTTACGCCATGCCTCAGCGCTAGCGGAGCATGCGGACGAGTTGCCCGTGCGTTTTTAAACGCGAATCTGCGGGAAAATAAATGTATGATCATTGTGTGTTGTCTCCTGTGGTCATATTTCTTTAGTTTATTCCTTAGTTCCTTTGTTGCCTTGACAGTTGGAAAGAATAGGAAATAGTGAGTAGAAAGCTCTAGTTGTTTGTGCCATTGGTACCAGTCTGTCATTCTGGCAGTGTGGGTGTCACTTGAAGTTTCGAAGTTCAGTTCAACAGCGCGAAGAGAAGAAAAATGGTTGAAGGGTTTTCAAAATACAACCTTTTTCATCTCTTAGTTTATTTTCTAATGAAATATCTCCGCTAATATTACTCATTTGATGTCGTACTGGCCAAACGAATTGAGAAGTTGTTTCTCCCTCAGTATGTTGATGTTTATCTATCCCGGAACGTAGCTGGCTTAAGCTTTCTCTCTGTGATACGGAGTATCGACGAAGTAATGTTAATTGAGCATGAATATTGTAGGGTGTTTTGGTTTTTCCTCAAAAACATGCCGTCAATCTGATTTTAATGTTACTGATGTTGTACTGTTAATTTCAGGTCGTCACCAAAGGGTCGGATGTATGTAATAATGAAAATGGCCCGTTATTCTGTGGTATGGTCCGACAATTTGGTCTAGAAGCGTATTTGAGATCGGGAAATAACACTTCTTCTAATATAACACTTATCATTGAAGAACAGCAACAGGTACGTTCGAGAGCACATGTGCTCAAAGGTAGTTTCCAGAGACTTATATCGAAAATGTACGCGATGAATAACAAGAGATGCAGTATCATTTACTCAATATCACCACCCAGTAATTGCTAATCTTCTAACGATGCAAAGATGTTTGCAAGATGAACCGAATTCGCTTAGCATTTGTTGACAGAGGTCTTCAGATAATATTATGCGAAGAGTGCCCATTAGATAAATAAAGGTGTGATACACGGACGCGCGCGGTCGCGACGCTGTTGCACCCTTTTTCGGTATGACCGCGTCGTGACTGCTGTGCTCAAGAAGCCGCCATCTTTTGTCTCTGGGAACTGCAGGTCATGTAGATCCCGAATGGATTTCATGCCGATAATTCAGGAACCCACTAACACAACGACCACTGACATTGTCAAACTTTTTGAAAATGATTACGAATCGCAAGTCAGGTACGGAACTTGATTTTCTGGTTTGGTAAATGTTTCCCTTGTTAATTTAGTCTTAAGTTATTTAATTTAGCGTTAACGATACAATAGTCGAAATTTCGGAATCGGATGGAGTTGATCTCTTGGACAGCATACTGAAATCACATCAATTGTAGCGATTTCTTGATTATATTGTTGTATATATTTTAGTTTCTTGCTATAAAAATTGCGACTGTATGCGTGATTGTGTTGTGACCAGAGGGATCTGTCCCTGTCTTCGATATTAGCTCTGACATTAGTCAACAAGAGGGTAAGACTCTGATTTTAGCAGTCATTAGCGACATAGCGAATTGCCCCGGTAAGTCTGTCCTGCCATGCACTTACGGTTATTATCTCTCTGGCTCTTCAGCAACGTGAACGGACTAGATCAATGAATATCAACTGCATAAGCACAAAACTATAACGATCATTCATAGTTCGGAAGATGCGCGCCTCGTGAAGCCGATAATTCTGCAGGTATGGAAGCCAAGTACATTTACCAACATATTGAATTTAGTTAGCCGGAATCTTTAATGTGACCACCCTTTTATTAATTTGAAGAAATTCTGACGAACCGATGTAAGGTTGATTCGATTACGATTTTGATGTTTTACCTCACTGTATTTGTTTGAGCGCACCACCGCGTGCATCAAAGTAACTCCTCCATAATGACTTAAAGATGAAAAGTAGCAGGTGAGCTAGGAAGAGATTTGGATCAAGCTAGAGCTAGATGGTTTCGGAATGTGCATTGTATGCTCTGTTGTTCAGTATCCCAAATTGTTGGTTGCTTGAATACGGCCTTGTCGTCTTATATCTTTTTTTTTTTTGGACGAAACCGTACGTCGGTGCAAAGCAACTGCTGCTTGTGTTGACGCGTAGGAGACAGGCTCTCCTTGAACATCTTCAACTTGAATTCACAAATTGGGTTATTCCAGTGAAGAGGGTTCATCGAGCTATGTTTTTCCACCAATATACTTACGAGACTAATATCAGTTCCGTTTTGAACTAACCGTTTTTGCTCTCAACTGGGATTCCTGACTGATTAAAGTACCCGAAGATCCAGAGGACGAGGTAATTCTAATTCTTACCCAAAGGGGAGGCGTTTTCCGCAGTCGTTTCCTGAACACCTACAAATCAATAAATTTATTCGTTAAGAAGGCGATGACGATTGAAGTATGCAATATTTGGGCGACATGGTAGCTTTGGGATGCTCTTCATAATCTAATTTCGAACTGTTTGGGAAAGAGAACGTTACCTCTTCAAATAATATAGTCTTCCTTTCATTCACAATTGCTTTAAAGCATGCTTCAAACAGCTATAGAAGCTTATTTTTGCACCTGTCACATAGTTGTCCACTGTCTGTGTATAGTTAGGGAAAGTTCAGTGCGAGTTCATAATCTGTCCAGTTCACTTTATAGGACAACCTGCTTCGTTCAATCTCTTGCAGACGGTGGTAACAAAAATTGGTTTATGAAATTTTTATGTCATTGCACAAAACAAACAATAAAAAGGGCCTATTCGGCAATTTTGTACTCCAGGATAATTTGCTGTTGACCCAATCTGTTGAAGGTGATTACAGGCAGCCGGTTGGAGGCCGAAACTAGCTTCACATTGCGATCATTCGGTGACCAGAATCTGCAAGACTAATTTTGTATGTAGAAGGGCAATACTGACATTAGGAACTCGCCCACCGGTATCCTGTTCGAGTTTGATCTTGATTCGATTTGATCTCGATTCCTCATAATATGCAACCGTCATAAGGGTAACCATATGAGATTGAGTAGATCTCAACTTCTATCGTTTTCCCTTGAGGAGCCTAAATTATATGGAGTCGGAAGAGAAAGCTTGAAAAGTAGGCAGATCAATCGCATACTTCAATCCAGTAGTTGCAGAAAGCGAATTCATCCCTTACAGGATCACCGTAGCCGAGTATGTCAATGAGGAACTGCTTGCTCTGTTTCGCCACTAACGTTCTTCCGCATCCGGAAGGCTGAAAGAAAGGCTCCATTGGTAGACTCTTGTGCAGGGACGGGACATTCCACCCACTCGCTCATTGCAGGAAGCCCCGCCATAGCCGCCGGGACAAATACATTCCGAGCATCTTTCTGGGTGAGGGAATCCACCATTCTCGCATTGGTGAGACTTGGCATTCAGACATTTGGCTGAACAACTTTCTGCATCACTTCCTACAGAGCAGACGTCTGGACAGTGCCTTACTTTTGCATTTGTAGTGGTCGTTGATCATGGATTTGTCTATGAATGTCAGGATGTACGAGCCCATCGATTCTTGGAAGTTTCATCATAGGCTATCATTGTAGGTTTCTTGTTCTGAGAAGCACTGAAGTATGCAAACATATTGAGCCATGAACACATAGTGCTTATTCCTCTTCCCCACCCCGTAGCACCGTAATGCATGATGCTGTCGTAGTCATAGGTAAGATCATAGTTGGTGGTGGTTTCAGGTGTCTCCTTGATGTACTGGTCCACGAAATCTTTCTGTAATACTCTAACGATACGCTCTATCAACTTGATGGAGGTTTGTAAGTGATGGTTTACTCGAACATTCTCCAAAGCGATAGTTATGAAGTCATCTCGATCGTAACGAGACATTGTATGGAAAAGACCAAGAGCGTAACCGAGTCCATGTGCTGCAGTTCCGACCTAATGCGTGTGGTGATGAAAGGTAAACAAAAAGGGCCGTGTAGTTTTTCAAGTCATAGTTCGGAGAGACGAAAGTACAAAAACTCAGCAACACCTCACCTCCTCACAGCCCACTCTGAGCGAAAGAGGTTGTTCGCCTCTAAGGCGTCCTCCGTACGACCAGCAGCCTTCCTCTTGCATCAACACGATACTGTGCTCAGCTGAAATCGAATTTGATCGTGATGCCATCAGATCGTGATGCATGTCTCGTGTAGAAATCATTCAACATTTGTTCTCTTTATCATGGTGGAACTTGATGCACGACGCGTCTTCCCATTGTCTGGCTCCCTTCTTGAGGGTTTCTCTGGTAAAGTAGTCCGGATTTCCGACTTTCAAAAGGTCCAAGCAGGTGAGATTCTTGTTTCTTGGTGAGATGTTCTGAAGTCAACCTGCGCTGTAGTCAAACTTGTAAAAGACTTCTGCTCCGTGCCATGTGGTATTGGGATAATTTTTATCTTTGAACGCTTGTCTCTTCTCTCGGTCGCGGGTTCCGTCGACAGCTTCCAGGACTTCATCGGCTTGTTTCCTGAGAGAGAGCCACTTTATGAATTGTTGCATGCCGCATGCCTAATAAGAAGGATAGGAAAGTATTTTGTCAAGAGAATATCACTCTGGAAGAGGTGTTTGCCGATGCTACTGGCCGCGTTGATCTCGACTATCGTGTCTTTCGGGTCTTCAACGGTGTTGTTTCTTCTCGCTAGGATTTCCTCGAACATTACCTTTTCCGTAAAACCCTACCTAACCCTAAATTGCGTAAAAAATGTGTGAACAAGGTTCACCTTCATCTTGCGCTCTAGTTCCGTCTTCTTCTTTTGCAATGTGTGTTTCAGCTTCTCTATCGCCTTTTTCTTGATTTGGTTCAATTTGCTGCCAAATGAGAAAGGCCAGTCCTTATAAAGATCTGAAGACATCCGAGAGTATGTATGAGCGAGTTTATTTTACCAAACCTCAATGTCGCTGACCTTTCCAAATCTAGTGAGGGTCGCGTTTTTAATCCTATCAATCACATTGCCTCTTTTGAAAAAGTCTTTCGCTTTATCAAGCAGGCCTGCTTGCGCTGATACAGCCAAGAAGAGCAGCAATATAGTGAGCCTCATCCTTAAACAAGCAGCTGAAGGGTGTTGCTGTCAGAGAAGGAAGGAAATATCGAAAGGTAAAACTTTCTTTATGGAGCTCTATGCAATGCTAGATGAGCAGTCTCCTCCTCAGTTTTATAGCTTTAGATCCAAAGTTTGATAAGTTTGAACAACTGCTAAAGGGCAATGACGACTACCAGAGTAGAGCTGTTCCACTCCACTTTGTTCAACTGCTACCTCACGTTAAGACCATCACTCATTTGTGCGGGAGAACTTTGTTCGAGATCACCTCCAATTTCTTCACATAAAATATGCTTCTTCGATGCCAGCAGTTTCGATATATAGTGATTTACGATATCACTTTGAGGGAATTCCTTTTAGTTCTGGTTATAAAGTGGAGTGTAGCTAACGGACAGAGCATTTTGTAAGCTGTTTGAAGTTCTATTCCTTGACCTGAGTGGAACTTTGAGAGAACGATGTCTCGATTGAGGGGTCTGGCAGATGGGATATCCGGAGCTACTGGTACTGAAGAAACATGTTTTATGTAAGGATTCTGGAAGCAATCACGCACAAAGCACTCCCTCACAAGTGTTTGATGATTTCAACGTAAGATAGCAGTTAAATAAAATGAAATTAAACAGGCATACTGAAAGCCCTTTAGCAGTTGTTCAAACTCATCAAACTTCGGATCTTATGCTATAAAACTTAGGGGAGACTGCTCATCTAACATTGCATAAAGCTTCATTAAGAAATGTTCACCTTTCAATATTTCCGCCCTTCTGTAACAGCAACATCCTTCACTGAAACTTCAGCTGCTCGCTTAAGGATGAGGCTCATTATATTGTAGCTCATCTTGGCTGTATCAGCGCAAGCAGGCCTATTTGATAAAGCGAAAGACTTTTTCAAAGAGGCAATCTGATTGATAGGATCAAAAACGCGACCCTCCCGAGATTTGGAAAGGTTAGCGAAATCGAGGTTTGGTAAAGTAAACTCGCTCATACATACTCTCGGATGTCTTCAGATCTTTATAAGGACTGGCCTTTCTCATTTGGCAGCAAATTGAACCAAATCAGGAAAAAGGCGATGGAGGAGCAGAAACTCACATTGCAAAAGAAGAAGACGGAACCAGAGCGCAAGATGAATGCGAACATTGTTCACACATTTTCTACGCAATTGAAAAAAAGTAGGGACTTACGGGAACGGAATTGTTTGAGGAAGTCCTTGCGAGTTGACACAACACTGTTGAAGACCCGAAAAACACGATAGTCGAGATCACCGTGGTCAATAACATCGACAAACACCTCTTCCACAGTGATATTCTCTTGACAAAGTAATTTCCTATTTTTCTTATTAGGCATGCGGCATGCAACAATTTATAAAGTGGCTCTCTCCCTCAGGAAACAAGCGGATGAAGTCCTGGAAGCTTTAGACGGAACCCGCGACCGAAAGAAGAGACAGGCGTTCGAAGATTAAAATTACCCCAATACCACATGGCTCGGAGCAGAAGTATTTTACAAGTTTGACGACAGCGCAGGTTAACTTCAAAACATAAGTCCGAAAAGTCCCATCTGCCGGACCTTTTGAAAATCGGAAGTTGAGATTACTTCACCAGAGAAATCGTCAAGAAGGGAGCCAAACAAAGGGAAGACGCGTCGTGCAACAAGTTCCATCATGATAAAGAGAGCAAATGTTGAATAATTTCTACATGAAATTTGATTTCTGATGACATTACGATCAAATTAGATTTCAGCTGAGCATAGTATCGTGCTGATCAAAGAAGGAGAAGGCTGCTGGTCGTACGTAGGACGCTTTGGAGGCGAACAATCTCTTTCGCGGTGAAGTGTTGCTGAGTCTTCGCACTTTTGTCTCTCCGAGCAATGATTAGTAAAAACTAAGCGATCCTTTATGTTTGCCTTTCATCACCATACGCATTAGGTGGGAACTGCGGCACGTGAACTTGGTCACGCTCTTGGTCTTTTCCATACAATGTCTCGTCACGATCGAGATGACTTCATAACTGTCGCTTTGGAGAATGTTCGAGTAAGCCATCACTTACAAACTTTCATCAAGTTGATAGAGCGTATCGTTAGAGTATTACAGGAAGATTTCGTGGACCAGTACATCAAACAGACACCTGAAACCACCTCCAATTATGACCTTACCTATGACTACGCCAGTATCATGCATTACTGTGCTACGGGGTGGGGAATAGGGATAAGCACTATGTGTTCATGGACCAAATATGTTTGCACACTTCAGTGCTTCTCATAACAAGAAACCTACAATGATAGCCTATGACGTAGACTCCCAAGAATCGATGGGCTCGCACATCCCGTCATTCATAGACAAATCCATGATCAACGACCACTACAACTACAAAGGAAGCATTGCTCAGACGTCCACTCCGTAGAAAGAGCAGCAGAAAGTTGTTTAGCCAAATGTCCGAATGCCAAGTCTCACAAGTGCGAGAATGGTGGATTCCCTCACCCAGAAAAAATGCTCGGAATGTATTTGTCCCGGCGGCTATGGCGGGGCTTCCTGCAATGAGCGAGTGAGTGGAATGTTCCGTCCCTGCACAAGAGTCTACCAATGGAGCCTTTCTTTNTGCGGAAGAACGTTAGTGGCGAAACAGAGCAAGCAGTTCCTCATTGACAAACTCGGCTACGGTGGTCTTGTAAGGAGTGAATTCACTTTCTGCATTTAGCGGATTGAAGTATGCGATTGATCTGCCTACTTTTTGTGCTTTCTCTTCCGAATCCGTGTAATTTAGGCTCCTCAAGGGAAAACGATAGAAGTCAAGATCAACTCAATCTCACATGGTTACGCTTATGACGGTTGCATATTAGGAGGAATCGGGATCAAATCGAATCAAGATCAATCTCGAACTAGATACCAGTGGGCGGGTTCGTAATGTCAGTATTACCCTTCTACATACAAAATTAGTCTTGCAGATTCTGCTCGCCGAATGATCGCAATATAAAGCTAGTTTCGGACTCCAACCGGCTGCCTGTAATCACCTTCAACAGATTGGGTCAACAGCAAATTATCCTGGAGTACAAGACCGCCGAAAATGCCATCTTCATTGTTTGTTTTGTGCAGTGACATAAAAATTGTTGGAATCCTCTTCACTTTTCGATTTTCCCAACGACCTCATCTTCCCTGTTCCTGACTTCAGCTCGAACTTTCGTGAACAATGTCAATTATGTTTCAAATTTTAAGGTATTTTAACATCTGGCAATAGTTTACTATGCGAAACAAATACACAAACAACAAAACCCAGAAGTAAATACAGTTACACGTATTCTGAAAGTAAGCGGTCTTGAGATGGGCAAGGCGTCTCCAGTTGGCCTCGTCTAGCCGAAGTAGTCTTCCTGCAGTCGAATCATTCAACAAAAATTATTTCTATGTTTAACTCACGATTCCTACAAGTTTCGAATCCCTTAAGAAACTCCGTCAGCTCATTGTGATCGCATCTATAAGTACCCCTATGGCCATAGAATTCTGAGGACCGCTAACTCACTTTGACGAACAGGTAGCAGCGAGTTGTACCAGAATGTATTAGGTTGAGTATAAGTCCTCGGATAATGTGATAGTGATGATTTTTAGAGATCATGACGCTGGAAAGAGGTGACGAAAATGGACGCGCGAGGCATCATTAGATAGGGTATCATTGGCCGAGCTTTCGCACCTTGCCGATTGACTTCAATCCACAAATACCTATGGATTGACTCCCCAAGAGTGACTGCCAGTCCACGAGAGATTGATACNTTACCCTTCTACATACAAAATTAGTCTTGCAGATTCTGCTCGCCGAATGATCGCAATATAAAGCTAGTTTCGGACTCCAACCGGCTGCCTGTAATCACCTTCAACAGATTGGGTCAACAGCA